GTCTATCATTCCGGGCACCACTTTGCAATTGCACTCCCCAACACCCGGACGTTACGTTCCAATGACAGGGTGACGCCGGGCCATGACGTGGTACGGTCCGGTGGTTCGGGGACAGCGGACCATGCCACGGCAGGATCCAGCGGCTCGGGGACCCCGGACCATGCCATGGCAGGGTCCAGCGAGTCGAGGACGGCAGACCACGCCATGGTATGGTCCTGCGGCTCGGGGACTCCGGACCATGCCGTGACATGGTCCGGCGTCGTGGAGTCGCTGAAACATACCATGGCATGGTCCGACGTCCCTGAGCCGCCGGACCATACCATGGGACGGCGGACCATGCTATGGTATGGTCCGGCGGCTCGGGGACTCCGGACCATACCGTGACATGGTCTGGCGTTGTGAAATCGCTGAACCACACCTCGGCATTGTTCGCCGTCCCCGAGCCGCCGGACCATACCATGGCATGGTCCGGCGTCCCCGAGCCACCTGACCATACCATGGCATGGTCCGCCGTCCCCGAGCCCGCCGGGCGACACCGTGGCATGGTCCGACGTCCCGGAGGCGCCGGACCATACCGTGGCATGGTCCGTGTCCAGAAGGCGTCGGCGAAGACATGGTATGGTCCGCCGTCCCGAATTGCCATGCACATGCGATGGTTCTTGTCGGCTCCTTTGGGACGCCGGGCCACACCGTTGCAAGGTTCCATTCCAGGTGACCGTGGACATTACCCTTGCCAGCCGCTGACCACTGCGCGAGCCAGAATGTTCCATAACAGAAAGTCGTTAATGAAACATAGGTGCAAAGTGAGAGGAACATAAACAAAGCTCCGAAAATGTGTGTTCCGTAACATAAGTTGTTTCAAGGAGCCGCTTCCCCGAACAACACCGACTCGTGCAGCCCATGTACTCTTTTACCAGAACTCACACATTTATTGAAATGAAGGGTAAGCAAACATGAGACCTTAAAATACAATGACCTTTTCGAAACAATAGACATTTAAAAACAAAGACCTTTTTCAAAACATAAGACCTTTGAAAACAATGACCTTTTTCAAAACATAAGACCTTTATAAAAAACACATTTCTTCTGGACGAATGCCATGGAAACAAACGGCCGCCCGACCTTAAGACAAAAAAAACACCTGCCAGGTTCCTTACAACAAGAACATTAAAAAAAAACAGTCGCCTTTTTTGAAAACAAAAGACCTTTACCCAAGAAACCTCACCTGCTCGAAGATGACGACAGCTTTGTGCCCGGCCGTTGCCGCGTGAAGGCCCCTGGACGACTGCTGAGGTTCGCAGCTAGCCTGTTTGTTGTTCAAAAGGCTGCTCGAAGGCACCGTGCAATAAAAAGGCGCTCGGCTGGGAGGAGGCAGCGTGCAAAGGCGCCCCGATAGGGCACACAACTGCTCAAAGGCGTTGTGTTCAGGTGCTGTTGAAAAGGCACCGTCACGCGTAGCTCGCAATCGCACACACAACTAGCAGTTGTCGTTGGCGCAGCTCGCAATGGCGCACGCGCAGCTCGCAATGGCGCAAGCGCAGGCCGCAATGCCGCAAGCGCGGGCCGCAATGCCACAAGCGCAGGCCGCAATGGAGGGAGGAGGAGGAATAGCGCTCCGTCGGGCTCACGTTTTCGCGCGGATGCGAAATGAACATGCCGGCGGGGGTTAGGGTGCTTTTCCTTCCCCGTGCAGCCCTGTCTCCTGTCGATTGGTGGGTTCGAAATAGCGAGAACGCAAAGAGGTCGGGCCTCGTTTTTTTTTTGGGGACAGGCGTCGTTTCGGGCCTGCACGTGGACCTAGAAACGGTGCGCGGTGCCGGCCTCGTTTCGGGCCAGGCCTTTTTCGCCCTTTTTCCCTTTGCCACCTGCTTTTCCCACATTTGGTACCGGGGTGCAGTTTCGATCGGCGTTATGAGGCCGGCGCAGATTGATGCCGACGACAACGAAGCTGGGAATGGCAATCGAGGTGGCCACTGCTCACGTGGACATCACAGTTCAGCCGTTCTATGCCAGGGCCTGCATTTCGCCTCATTTGCCACTGCTCCGAGAGTCGTTCCGTGCTAGCGCCTTCCTTTCGCAGAGGTATGACGCCAAGCCATTGATTGGTTGATCTTTTTTTTTTTTTTTTTTTTTTTTTTTTTCAATCACTCGAAAATGAATGTGTCCAATCGGACAGATCGATCCGTTTGGATACTTTGATTTTCGTCTTTTATTAACTGCTTGATTGATGGTTGGTTGATTGATTGATTGATTGATTAATTGATTGATTGATTGATTGATTGATTGATTGATTGATTGATTGAGTGATTGTTTGAATGAAAAAAAAAATGTTGATTGATTGCGAGCTCCTCCTCCTCACTCTTATGTGGTGTGTTTGGATGAAAAAAAATAATGTTGAGTGAGTGCGAGCTACTGATTCAAACTATTTGATTGGCGGAGAGGTGCCACCACCTCTGACGGTGAACATGTCAACACCTCAGAGGAGGAGAGGGAGGCGGATTAGGAGAGGAGTAGTAGTAGGGAGGAGGAGCAGGGAGGAGGACGAGCAGGCGAGGAGGAGGGAGGATGTCGATAGGGAGGAGGAGGAGGCGACATGGGGGCGAAAGGGAAAAGGGCGCCCACTGGGAGAAGGAAAGAGCCAAGGAGGAGGAGGAGGAACAGGAGGAGGAGGAGGAGGAGGAGGAGGAGAAAAAGGCCGAGGCCTGCGAGGAAGAAGAGGAGGACGAGTGCGAAGAGTAGGAGGAGGAGGAAGACTACCTTCTTACCCCGAAAAAAAACGTACGTACGTTGTAAACGAATACAACGTACGTACGCTATGCAACGAATTTTAGGGGACAACTTTTCCACGGCGGCCTTTCGCGGGGTACGTTGTATTCAAATACAACGTACGTACGTTGTATTTGAATTATGAGTTACGAGAGGGTGGCCCTGGCCCCTGAAATATATGCAAAAAAAAAAAAAAAAAAAAAAAAACACCACCAAAAGCCCTATACCCGTATCCAGTTCACCCCTGAAATAGGCGCGTCACAGAAGGGGGCTCGCTCTACCACTCACCACATGCATTGAAAACAAAATTTGGTCCTGAATCTTTCCATCTATTAGCTGCCGATTCATTATTGTGAGAGGCGGAAGGCCCGGACCACCCGTCATCTCTGTGATTGGAAATATATGTTGATTTCGATAATAATAATAATAATAATAATAATAATAATAAATAAAAAAAAAGAGACATGAAGGCTCAGGGCAAGTCATGTTGTTATGTCTGTTCCATTTTTCAGGATGGGTTTGCTCCCTCAGGGGCTCAGTCAGTCCCCGTAAGCAAAACTGGGTAATGCTCCCAGCAAGTTCACTCCCAGGTAGACTACAAGGACCCCGGCCTCATCTGATTTCGGTTGGGAGAGGGAAAAAATACGTTCCCCCCCCCCTTAAATTTGGCAGCAAATTTCAACAATACTCTTCACGCAAAAGATGTTTGTATTGCATTGTTCTTGGACTTTTTTTTTTTTTTTGATTTTTTTGAACACTTTTTTAGATAGTGAAAAATGTCTCAAATGCTACAGAGTCCGAATACAGCGTACGTACGTTGTATTCGAATACAACATACGTACGTCGTATTTGACCGTACGTTCTATTCGAAAAAAAAATATCGATTTCTAAAAGTTCAATTTTTTAGGGTAATTCGAATAGAACGTACGTACGTTTTTTTGGGGGTAAGAAGGTAGTTGTTGCCAAACCTGAAGCGGCGGAAGCTGACGATTCATAAAATTAAAAAAATTGTGTAAGACTTAAAAGTCATTATTGCTGCTTTTTTTACTGAAATGCGCTTTTATAACTTGCGCCATGACCGAAGTGCCATGCACTGTTGTTTTTTTTTTTTTTTTTTT